CAGACGCATACATCTGTGATTCCATCTCGTCTACTGATGCGTATATCTGTGACTCCATCTTGTTTACTGATAGAAGCAAAATCATTAGCAATAACTGTCCACGGCTCTTACGTTTCACACAGCACAAACAATTTACTCCTTTATCAGCAATATTCATTGAGTTTTGTTTGACTGTTTAAACATTATCTTAGTTATATCACGGCGTGTCAGCTAGATGTGGGAGGAAAACCCTAGTTTATGCAGGTTTTAGACGTTTACCACTTTGCTGAAACCCACGACGTGTCATGTGTCGTAAACATAGTATGACATGAACACTCATATACTATCCTCTTTATATGCCCAACACGTGTTCTTGTGAGATTAAGCACAACACAATAGTTGACCCGTCTCTGTATCCCGCTTGCAGGAAATTGTCCCTTCAGACTGCTGATCAATACCATATAATTAATATGAAAGATCAGGACTTAAGCACCTTATTACTTCTCATTGTGCCGTAGATCTTAATGGCGTTCGTGGATTAAGATGTGTCTATACGTGGATGTGCTCGTCTCCTAATGTCACTGTCGACACACGCTGATTTGTCATCACGAAGATAGTATGACTATCAGGCTGTTGCCTGACATTGTGCATTGATCTACTCGATGAGGACGCTACACTCACATGTACTTGCCCTGACTGGGATTATACCTGATAATTTAGAGTATTCATAGAGAACATCTTTTTGTAAGTGACCAGCGGGACGATGTACTGGGCGTGGTACGAACAAACAAAGACATACTACCTACATTTGGCTTCATCGCTTTGTCAATCTTTGTCAATCTATATATTACATTAGTTCGCCTTTGTGTCTGATTACACAATTCAGATGTATCACGGAACATTATCTTAAATTGAGCGTTATTGTTTTTCTTCAGTAATTCCAGAAACACCAAAACGGGAGAATACCAGAAATGGGTTTCATCCTTTTGACTGGGATGTAGGGAATCAAACTTAAGGTGAACCGTTCACCATCTCATTAAATTAATATCCTTCACTCCGATGCGTTAGAGATATGTCGAAACCCTAAAAGAACTTTAGATCAGAATGCAAAATGCGTGTGTTTTGGGGCAAATAAGATGCCAGTTTTCTGAAACGTGTCGACTTGAAAATAAAGACCCACACAGGACACAAGTATGCCTTTGCTGGTACTCCCTTTTAGGTGTAGAAGTCACGGAGTTCATGGTATAGGAAATATCCACAACAATATAACGTCGTGGCCTTATGTATCTACAGTCGTAACCTATCGATTCAATTCGTTTTTTGAGATACAGAAGTCAAATATGACTGTCTGAATGCTTCGCTCACTCGTTTCAAGAATTTAAAAGCCTCGATGTTGATTGGTTCATTATAATGTTCCCCTGACGTGACCATATATGGGGGTGCCCTCGGAAATTCACACAGATGTATTGTATGAGAGTAAAGGATCTGATTGTAATTAAATTGAAGGCACTAATTACACGGCTAGACTAAGACAGGAAATGAGAACCGTAGGCGTCGTTCTTTACTATTATCATGACGGTAATAGGGAATACGGTCTAATCCTTCTTCGATCCCTCCACGTCGACAACGAAAGATAGTTTAAGGTTCTAGTCATACAACAGGGGAGACACCACGAAAGGGATTCGCCAGATACATCAATAAAGACATGGACCCTTAACCAATACTCAGCACACCATATATTTGTCCGCGAGGGGATTCCGGGTTAGATTTGTTTGTTTGTTTGTTTGTTGTTTAACGCAACACTCAGCAATATTCCTGCTATATGACGGCGGTCTGTAAATAATCGAATTTGGACATAGAATCCAGTGATTAACATAATGAGCATCGATCTACGCTTTTGGGATTCGATGACATGCATCAACCAAGTCAGCGAGCCTGACCACCCGATCCCGTTAGTCGCCTGTTACGACAAGCATAGTCACCTTTTACGGAAAGCATGGGTTGCTGAATACCTATTCTACCCCGGATCTTCACTGGTCTGGAATAGGTCCCAGCAACCTATGATTGTCGTTAAAAGATGGCGGTGTGGTTGATCGCCATCGTACAATGTTAATAATATCAACCACTATTGCTGAGTGCGGTTTAAACTCGCTTCACTCTCATGTATTAGAGGGGTGAACAGCACGTGAACGTCCAACACACAATTTCACCGACCAGTCAAAGCATGACTCGTAATATATATGTTACCTTAAAATGTCCTTTGGTGATTTCCTTCCCCGTACGTTGACCAGTAGCAAGTACGCGGGGAAGAACATGGTCACCCACATCGTACAGAAGTAGGAGAGGGCGAAGGGAGCGTCGAAACCCGGCTGACTGGCATTTTGGGCCAGTTCCGAAAACGCAACCCACGTGACAGCTATCAAGATGGCGAGAAGCACACCCCAAAGACACTTCCGGTGAAACTCGGTGAATTCACAGCACGGTTTGTAAGCCTGGGCAGGAGCGGCTGGGTTCTCTACATCTGAAACAAATAAAATATACTTAGCCTCTTTGATTACATATATTACACAAACCATAGTCGTGTCCAGTTGACCGCTGCCCGCCTGACTTCTGTCGAGAGTACGGTCGGACCCCAGAGAAGAATGGCATAGTGGCCGGGTTATGGACCGACAACAGACCATGTATGGTATCAAACTATACTGGAAAGTGGCACCACGCTACACTATAACATGGCACCACACTACACTAGAACATAGCACTAAGATATACTGGAACATAGTACCACACTATACTAGACCATGACCCTACGCTATCCTAGTAGACAGGAAGCTATACGAGAACATAGCTCACCACGCTTTACCACAACACGACACCACACTACGCTGGAACATGGCACCAAGATAATTGGCAAATGGTAGGATGAGCTGTATCTGATTGCCTGTTGAAAGCTGGTGAGTTTGTTTGGCCTTGTGGAATTGGGTTGTACCAGTGAAAAGATCTGGAGCTTTGAAATTCTCTGGTCTTGTCATGAGAATAATGAGATACGCTTTGACAGATCAGGTAATCGCCATGTTTTATTTACTAAATTGCATTTTTTCTTGTTTTGTATCAGACCCCCTTAATACAACAATAGTAAGTCCTGTAAAACCACGATGTCGTCCTTTAAAGCACTCGTATCATCATTGTCAGTCGCTGATCATCAAAGGGGTTAAAGCGCTCTCTCGTTCGTTTCCAACATGGGTACAATGCGTGAACCCCATTTCTCGTGTTCCCCGCCGTGAGTATTCCTGGAGAATCGCAAAAAGCGGCGTAAAACTCATGGTGATGAGGAAAGTACGCATTCGATTTCATTCCCAACTCCCTATGGAGTATACACTGGGTATTAACATATACATGTAGTTGTTAAGTTTAATCATAATCGTCTTGCTACGCATGACCATTGTCAAGAAATGTCATCTTTGTTTAGTTTGCACGTCCAACTCTACAGTTATCTCGTTGTGAAATGTTCATCCCACATCATCATGAATTTACCGTTGTTACTTTTCAAAATCCAAATGACATACAATGATAGCTATCACACATCTTACCTTTTTAAGTTACCGTCAGAATACACACTAGGAATTGGATAGAAAAGGCAAGATTTTCTTGTATTTTAAGTACGTCGACTTGTAATTTGTTTTGTATTGTTAGGGCAAGACATGCTTACCCTATTGGCGAACACCTGGTGTCATCACTGATATTCAGTGATCCATTCATATAATATTAACCGTTATTTTGTCTTTTAGGCCTAATGTATCTGTTTCAGACACTGGTTATTCTCTGACGTTGACGTTACATATTAAATGAATATTTGATGACTTACAGATTAGATTATTACCACCGTGTAAAGTGAGTGAGTGAGTGAGTATGGTTTTAAGCCGCTTTAAGAAATATTCCAGCAATATCACGGCAGGGGACACCAGATATGGGCTTCACACATTGTACCCACGTCGGGAATAGAACCCGGGTTTGCGGCGTGACGAGCGAACGCTTTAATCACTAGGCTACCCGGCCGCCCCTGTGAAGTGAATGAAACTGAACAACATTTAGGTGATAAAGGTAATGATGCATAGTATGTTAAGTATCTATTAAACCTCTAACAGACGTGGGGCGGTTGGGTAGCCTAGTGGTTAAAGCGTTTGCTTTGGATCTTAAACATGCAACCACCTGGCACCAACGGTAAATTCTACTTACCACTTAATATGGATAAACAACAGTAATATCTACAGAACTAGTCAATATGGATAAAACAACAGTTAGATCTACTGTTCTACTCATTTGAATAATCAATAGTAAGGTCTACATACTACCCAGTGTGGATAAACAACATCAGGATCAATATACAACTCAGTGAGGATAAACAACATCAGGATCAATATACATCTCCGTGTGGATAAACAACATCAGGATCAATATACATCTCCGTGTGGATAAACAACATCAGGATCAATATACAACTCAGTGTGGATAAACAACATCAGGATCAATATACATCTCCGTGTGGATAAACAACATCAAGATCAATATACAACTCAGTGAGGATAAACAACATCAGGATCAATATACATCTCCGTGTGGATAAACAACATCAGGATCAATATACAACTCAGTGTGGATAAACAACATCAGGATCAATATACATCTCCGTGTGGATAAACAATAATAAGATCTACATACTACTCAGCGTGGATAAACAACATCAAGATCTACATACAACTCAGTGTGGATAAACAAAAGTAAGGTCTACATACAACTCAGTGAGGATAAACAAAAGTCAGGTCTACATACAACTCAGTCTGGATAAACAACATCAGGATCAATATACATCTCCGTGTGGATAAACAATAATAAGATCTACATACTACTCAGCGTGGATAAACAACATCAAGATCTACATACAACTCAGTGTGGATAAACAAAAGTAAGGTCTACATACAACTCAGTGAGGATAAACAAAAGTCAGGTCTACATACAACTCAGTCTGGATAAACAACATCAGGATCAATATACATCTCCGTGTGGATAAACAATAATAAGATCTACATACTACTCAGCGTGGATAAACAACATCAAGATCTATATACAACTCAGTGTGGATAAACAAAAGTAAGGTCTACATACAACTCAGTGAGGATAAACAACATCAAGATCAATATACATCTCCGTGTGGATAAACAACATCAGGATCAATATACATCTCCGTGTGGATAAACAACATCAGGATCAATATACATCTCCGTGTGGATAAACAACATCAGGATCAATATACATCTCCGCGTGGATAAACAACATCAGGATCAATATACAACTCAGTGTGGATAAACAATAATAAGATCTACATACTACTCAGCGTGGATAAACAACATCAAGATCTACATACAACTCCGTGTGGATAAACAAAAGTAAGGTCTACATACAACTCAGTGTGGATAAACAAAAGTCAGGTCTACATACAACTCAGTCTGGATAAACAACATCAGGATCAACATAGTTCTCCGTGTGGATAAACAATAATAAGATCTACATACTACTCAGCGTGGATAAACAACATCAAGATCTACATACAACTCAGTGTGGATAAACAAAAGTAAGGTGTACATACAACTCAGTGAGGATAAACAAAAGTCAGGTCTACATACAACTCAGTCTGGATAAACAACATCAGGATCAATATACATCTCCGTGTGGATAAACAATACAACTCAGTGTGGATAAACAAAAGTAAGGTGTACATACAACTCAGTCTGGATAAACAACATCAGGATCAATATACATCTCCGTGTGGATAAACAATAATAAGATCTACATACTACTCAGCGTGGATAAACAACATCAAGATCTACATACAACTCAGTGTGGATAAACAAAAGTAAGGTCTACATACAACTCAGTGAGGATAAACAAAAGTCAGGTCTACATACAACTCAGTCTGGATAAACAACATCAGGATCAACATAGTTCTCCGTGTGGATAAACAATAATAAGATCTACATACTACTCAGCGTGGATAAACAACATCAAGATCTACATACAACTCAGTGTGGATAAACAAAAGTAAGGTCTACATACAACTCAGTGTGGATAAACAAAAGTCAGGTCTACATACAACTCAGTCTGAATAAACAACATCAGGATCAATATACATCTCCGTGTGGATAAACAATACAACTCAGTGTGGATAAACAAAAGTAAGGTGTACATACAACTCAGTGTGGATAAACAAAAGTAGGTCTACATACTACTCAGTGTGGATAAACAACGTCAAGATCAATATACAACTCAGTGTGGATAAACAAAAGTAGGTCTACATACTACTCAGTGTGGATAAACAACGTCAAGATCAATATACAACTCAGTGTGGATAAACAACATCAAGATCTACATACAACTCAGTGTGGATAAACAACATCAAGATCTACATACTACCCAGCGTGGATAAACAACAGCAAGGTCAATATACAACTCAGTGGGGATAAACAACGTCAAGATCAATATTCAACTCAGTGTGGATAAACAACATCAAGATCTACATATGACTCCGTGTGGATAAACAACAGCAAGATCAATATACAACTCAGTGTGGATAAACAAAAGTAAGGTGTACATACAACTCTGTGTGGATAAACAACAGCAAGATCTACATACTACTTCGCGTGGATAAACAACATCAACATCTACATACAACTCAGTGTGGATAAACAACAGCAAGATTTACATACAGCTCAGAGTGGATAAACAAAAGTAAGGTCTACATACAACCCAGTGTGGATAAACAACATCAAGATTTACATACAGCTCAGAGTGGATAAACAACATCAAGATCTACATACAACTCCGTGTGGATAAACAACATCAAGATCTACATACAACTCCGTGTGGATAAACAACATCAAGATCTACATACAACTCAGTGAGGATAAACAAAAGTCAGATCTACATACTACTCAGTGTGGATAAACAACATCAGGATCAATATACATCTCCGTGTGGATAAACAATAATAAGATCTACATACAACTCAGCGTGGATAAACAACAGCAAGATCTACATACAGCTCAGAGTGGATAAACAAAAGTAAGGTGTACATACAACTCTGTGTGGATAAACAACATCAAGATCAATATACAACTCTGTGTTGATAAACAACAGCAAGATCTACATACTACTTAGCGTGGAAAAACAACATCAACATCTACATACAACTCAGTGTGGATAAACAACATCAAGATTTACATACAGCTCAGAGTGGATAAACAAAAGTAAGGTGTACATACAACTCTGTGTGGATAAACAACATCAAGATCAATATACAACTCTGTGTTGATAAACAACAGCAAGATCTACATACTACTTAGCGTGGAAAAACAACATCAACATCTACATACAACTCAGTGTGGATAAACAACAGCAAGATCTACATACTACTTCGCGTGGATAAACAACATCAACATCTACATACAACTCAGTGTGGATAAACAAAAG